AATAATAATAATAATAATAATAATAATAATAATAATAATAATAATAATAATAATAATAATAATAATAATAATAATAATAATAATAATAATAATAATAATAATAATAATAATAATAATAATAATAATAATAATAATAATAATAATAACTAATAATAATAATAATAATAATAATAATAATAATAATAATAATAATAATAATAATAATATGGCTGAAAAATGCACTTTGACAGATGGATCACTGTGTCTATGTGCAAAAAGAAAAGAAAAAAACTAGGTTTTTGGTTGTTCCATTTTGGGATTTAGGTTAACCAGACTATATGGGCAAATAACGTTAAAGAAATGCCTGGAAATAATAAGAAAACTATAAGGCGATATTGGTGGTCTACCTTTTTCCGAACCGTACAGTATCCACTGAACTGAAGAGTTGCACCCAGTAATGAATCGATCAGGCTACCACCCAGCCCGGCTGCTGCAGCGATTGGTATCGCCAACAGCTGATTCAAGACCGCATCGGTAGCACATTCAGCTGTGAGTAGTCCCACAATGACACAAGTAAGCCCGATAAGTAAACCAGCTGCTGTGGCTGCCACAAGTCCCTGCACACTGACTGCACCGTTTGTACCTTTGCGGACGGTCTGTGCAGATGAAAACAACAAAGAGGAGATGGTCATTGTTTCAGGACTAACACTCGACAAGCATATCTTTAACATACATCTGAAGGAAGAAGAAAAAGAGAGTATCGGAGCATAATTGACTGCATCATCTGGTAACTCTCAAGAACTAAATTGCATAGGTGAAACAGCCATGAAGAGAGAATTAACAAACAGGTTTCACAGCTTTCACATGGGATTTTAACTTGGAAACGGTCATGCTTCTTCCACCTGAAACCTATCTGCAATACTTGACATTTTTCTATGGTCTATCTGGCGGGTTTCGAAGCAAGATCATTTCCAAATGATACTAATATGACTAATCGATGATATAAAAAATAACAGTGAGATCAAATAACAAGATATGCAGATTGGTCCTTTCTCATGTATCAGGGGAGTAGCAATTGTTGCTGTGCAGGAAGGAAAAAAAAATCCAGAAAAGTTAACAGTCAGCCATACATAAATGTCAAAACAAGTAACTGAATCATTCCCTTCAACTTTGATGATTCACCATCGCAAGGGAATGACTAGTTTCTTTGTGATAAAAGCAAACGGAAGATCGCATAGCAATCAATCAGCATATACATATAGAAGAGGTCTCTTCTTGTTTTGCAAATGAAACTATTGGACACATGTTTGGGCTTTTTTTTTAATGAAGCAGCTCTAAAAATGGAATTCTCTACACTTGCATCTTTTTCCTTGTTTCTTAAGCAAGACAGTTAAAACGGACCTTTGAGACAAACACTCCATAGTCCACGATAAATCATAGTATTGAAAAACAACAGAATTAGACCAGTTTAGTTTGATCAATGCAAAAAAAAAAAAAAACAAGGGTTAAGATCAATTTTAGCCCCTGCAGTTTTGGTCATGAACCTCTTAAGCCCTTATGGTTTACTCATGTCTAAAATAACTCTCACATTTTTTAAAAATGTAGCATATAAGCCCCTCCCGTCAAGTTTGAGTTAATAGATGTTAGAGTCTGCTTATGTAGCATGTTGACTCATAATAAACCATTAATATATTAAGGTCTATTTTAACCCCTATGGTTTTGACCATAGACCTCTTAAGCATTTATAATTTACTCGTGTCTAAAATAATCCTTACATTTTCAAAAACATAATATATAAGCCCCTCCCGTCAAGTTTGAATTAGTAGACGTTAGAATCTACTTATGTGGCATGCTGACTTACAATAAACCATTAATATAATGACATATATAATTTAATTTAATTTTTTTTAAATAAGACCTATATCAATGGTGGGAGGATGCGCCGTTGTGGAAGTGACCACCACCAGCAACACCGAGTCGCTACTGCCTGGTAGGGAATCGTACGCACACAACCTCTCCCGCATTGATGACGAGTTTAAGAGCTTCCAGTCTTATCTCAGGTGGATGTGTGTCGACCAGTCTGATACTAGACATGCAATGGTCTCCTAGTCCCTCTTTCTCCTATTGGGCGTTTTCGTCCCCATCGCCTCCCACTTTATCCTCTCCTATGCCCCCACCTGCGCTAACAACATGGTGGTCCACTTCTCTCACCTCCGCCTCCGGCCTCTCCTATCTTTGCCTCTCCGCCTTCGTCCACCGCTACGGCCTCCGCCGCTTCCTCTTCCTCGATAAGCTAGTCGGGGAGAGCGAGCGAGTATGGGAGGGCTACATGGACCAACTCAACCACTCCTTCCACTTGCTCTCTATCTTCGTATTGTCGTGCTTCACGGGGAAGGTGGCTTACAAGGTATAGTGGTACTCGTCGGGATCGAAGCAGGTGTCGTTCGTGGTGACGGGTGGCACTGTGATGGGCAACGTGGTGGCATACACCCTGGAGTTGGCGAGCTAGATATATCGGATGTCACTTACCAACTCCAAAGCTTATGCCACCACGGCGCTGCCTGCCACCGCAAATGGCACCCGCTCCGATCTTGACAAGTACCACCATACCTTGTAAGCCACCTCCCTTACGAAGAAGCCGGAGGTGAATGTGAGGGAGAGCTAGACCATCACGTCGTAGGTGCGACAGGTGGGGGCGCAAGAGAGGACAAAGTAGGAGGCTGTGGGGACGAAGATGCCCAAGACGAGGAAGAGGGACCAGGAGACCACTGCGTGCCTAGCGTCGAACTAGTCGATGCACATCCACTTAAGGCAAGACCAGAAGCACTTGAACTCGTTGTGGGAGAGGCTATGTGCATATGACACCCTACTAAGCAGCAGTGGCTCGATACTGCTACTGGTGGTCACTTCCACGACGATGCCTCCTCCCAATATTGATAATGGTCTCAATTTTTTTTAACTTAAATTATACATGTCATTATATTAATGGTTTATTGTGATTCAACATGCCACGTAAGTAGCAGAATTTAACGTTTGTTAACTCAGACTTGATGGGAGAGGCTTATATGTTATGTTTTTTTAAAATGTACGAGTTATTTTAGACACGAGCAAAGCATAAAGGCTTAAGAGGTTCATGACCAAAACCACAAAGACTAAAATGGACCTTAACCCTTTAAATTTAAATTACACGTGTCATTATATTAATGATTTATTATGACATGCCACGTAAGTAGACTCTAACGTCTGTTAACTCGGACTTGACGGAAGAGGTTTATATGCTACGTTTTTTAAAATATAAGAATTATTTTAGACATGAGTAAACTATAAGGGTTTAAGAGATCTATGACTAAAATCATAAGGGCTAAAAGAGATCTCAACCCAAAAAAAAAATCAATGTACAATTTCTGAGCATGAATATTCACTAGAGCAGAATGTAGAGTTCAATCAAAATCTACTACTATAAGATCTCTCTACTATACTTGTGGTGCCAGTAGAACATTCCCTCTAGCAAATAAACCAAAACATGCTAAACCAAATAACCTGGATTGATATAAGATAACTAAACAGCCTGATTAATAGTAAAGCACAAAGCAGATATCATTGCTTCCTTGTATCCATTAGTTAAAATAAAGTAACATACACGAAACGAATGAACAAATCAACAAAGACAAAGTAAGATATTGATTCTTAGCCACAGTAAGGTCAAATTAATTAACCACATTAATATGTACCTTGAAGGTAGTGATTAGCCTGGGTTGAGCATTGCTAAGTATTCCAATTTCAGATGACCAGGTATCTCCATTACAACAGGCATAATGTCCAATAATGCCACCAATGAGGCCAGTGAGAAATTTTGACTTTTTTGTGTCCAAGCAGGTATCTTGTCCCCCAGTTACACTTACGAACACCACTACCAAAATAGTTGCAAGCCAACTATTAGCCAACACTTGTATCCTGATAACATAATTGAACACACGTCATGTCAGGCTATGAAGGCAATAAGGTTGAAATAAAAATAAGTTACAAAGATTATCTATCCTCATATAGTATTCTCAAATTATAGCATAAAAAGTGGATCATTTTATAAGCTCATAAATGACATGAGATCTGCAATACTGAATGTCAAGAAACCATATGGAACATATTCCACCCAGCACCACTCATTGATAAGTCTGCTTTATCACCATTAGATCAAACTTGAAACAATCATTAAAAACTTATACATAAAAAGCAATCTTACAGCACAATTGCCAATCAAATTGCATATGTCACCTGAATGTTCATTCTAAAGTAAAATATTTTTCATAGATGCTTGTTTCAACAATAACAATAACAAAATCGTAAGTCCCAATTATTTGGAACCGACTACATAGATCTTTTATTGCCATTAATATTATACTTTTAGATCTTCCTCAACCTCTTTTTATACTACTAACTGTAATTACTTCATCTCTTCTAATTACTATATATTCAGGTCTCTTGAGCACATGTTCATTCCATTTTAAATTATTATCTTTTATTTTTTCTAACAACCATATTTTATTTTTCTATCTTTCCTAATAAATCAGCACATCCACTTCAACATTCTCTTCTCGACAAGAGAAACTTTTTATATATATTGCTTCTTGGCTACCCAACACTCAAATCCATAAAGCATTGCTAGTCTAACAATTGTCTTATAAAATTTTTCTTTTAATTTCAAGGATATCCGATAATCACACAAGTTTCCTAACGCTCCTCATCATTTTAATCATCATATTTTACTCTATTAAATATGAATAATATCTTTATCAATATTTTCATCTTGTTGAATAATTAATCTAAAATACCTAAATCTTTTATTTGAAGGATTTCTTTTCCCATCCAACATAACTATATTATCATGTTTATTCCTAATATTACTAAAATTGTATCTCATATATTCAATTTTGGTCCTACTTAATATAAAATCTTTAGTTACTTACAAAACTCCTTGTTCATCCTACTTAACTATATTCGCATGTCTATTCCTAGTATTACTAAAATTAGCTCTCATATATTTAATTTTAATCCTACTTAATATAAAAACTTTCTAAAGATTGGCTCCACAACTCAAATTTAAAATTAATTTTATTTAGACTCTCATCAACTACGACAACATCATCAGCATATAATATACATCAGGGAGGCCTATCCTATAAATGATCAGTAAGTTCATCCATTATCAATGTAAAAATGTAGGAACTTAATACGGATTCTTAATGTAATCTCATACTAATAGGAGATTGATTAAACACGCTCCTTATAGTTCTAACAGTAGTAGCTACATTATCATGCATATTCTTAGTAGTATCAATTTAGTGGGTACACCTTTCTTTTCTAGAACCCACTAATAAATATCTAAGAACTCTGTGTTTAACCTTTTCTAAATCAATAAAAACCATATGCAAATCTTTCTGTTTCTCTATATGCTTTTTCATTAATTGTTTTCTATTGTTGATCTTCCAAACATAAAATCAAATTAGATTAACTCATATTTTTAATTCATCTATAATTAGAACAGTTTCATGAATGCTTGGTTTCGCGAGTCAAAAGGAAGTGAAATAAGATAGTATAGATTGACAATACTTTAGTAGACTTGACTTTGAAAATACATGTGAGTTTTCTTAAAAAGGAAATGAAGTTTCTCTAGACTTTACCACAAGAGACCTATATAGTTACACTTTTAGAGCATATAGTGACATGATGTCATGTGAAACATTGATAAAACACAATTAAATATCCTAGGAGTTCTGTAGTTCTCCTAATCTCACAATTCACACAGGCCGATTAGATCTTAAACTCTTTTCATTTTGTTGCAATAAAAAGTCTGTAGAAGATACAAGTCTTGAGAATAGGTATATTATCAACATTAGTTGTTATATCCAAATTAAATGAGGAAATGTATTTTGACTTAGTAGGGATATATATGTAATTATAAGTATGATCCAATCTAATGTAATAACTCATTCATTAATTTTCCAAGTCTGAACCACTAGCCCAAGATGGTTTAACCCAAGGTAATGGTAATAGACTCATTTAGTTGTACAACAATTCCAGTCATCTTCCATTTTGCTGTGAAACTAAATTGGGATATTACATTTTGTTTCCTCCAAATTTAGAATATATCAGTGTTTCATCATAACTTGGAACAAAAGGTCAAAAGCAGCGTGGCTAACTTAGCGCCAAATGTGACTGAAAATCTCTGGTTAACCTGTCTTGCAGATAGTTTGTTTCTTCAAATCAGTAGCCAAATATAGTAAATCTCTAGACCTCAGGATAACCCTTAAATCTCACTTACCGAAATATATATATATATATATATATATATATATATATATATATATATATATATATATATATAGTAAATCTCATCCAAACTAAATAAAGCCTTCTCGCCAACCCATCCACTCAAATTTGAGCCCCTTTTCTAAATTCAGCATTCTTTAACTATTGATTTACAAATTCATGGTTCACCGCACCATCAATCTGAGATATTCTTATAATTAAAAAGAGGTAAATTTTTCACATCTGTTAAGGCCACAACATAATACAACTTTCCCCTCGATCAAATTTAGGCACCTCTCTGCAACTAAGCATTCTTTAATGACAATTTTACGACACGATGGTTCTCCACAGATTGGCTGATATCTAAAGAATGGCCTACAAATTGGATTTATTGTCTGTCTGGTTCGAAACAGCCACAAAAGATGTTCCATCTGAAACAGAGAAGTAACCAAATAAAGGAGGCATGCAGGGGCAGTACATTCAGTGATTCCTAGCTAATCTGAAAATTTCAGGCCCTAAAGTTAAAAACAGAAATGTGTCCAGTAGAACAATATAAAGCTGAAAGAAATTTAACGAACTTGACAAGTGCAGGATCTGATGCGGCCATCACACAATTCCCATAATATTAGTAATGACAGAACGCAGCCAATAAGAACAAACTAAGGGGGAAGAGAAGGAAATGTCACCAATTCCGCTGCCCGCCTTCCTTGAAATCCTCGTCGATGCTCCGTTTCTTCTCCTCTCCCATTTTTGTGAGCTTCGAGGAGGTGAAGAAGAAGACCAGCAGGAGCGCGGCGAATCTGGAAGAGAAGGGGCACCGACAGTGAGCCCTCTACTTGTAGGAAGAATCCAAATCCAAAAAACGTGGAGGGCTTGAACCTGTAGCCGGCCGCGATGTGGATCGCCGTCACCAGGAACCCCGAAATCGCCCCCGATCGATCGAGCGACCTGTGGAGGTACGCCCTTGCCGCGATCCCTAGCGACAGCACCACGGCCACCGCACTCCTGACCAAGAACCCCTCCATCGTCTCTCTCTCTGTCTCTCTCTCTCTCTCTCTCTGAGTAGTGGAGGGGAAGAGGGGAACAAAATGAATTCCAAATAATGAATGGAATCTTTTGGGAAATCAGTGAAAGATGTGATGAGAGCCCCACTTCTCTCTCTCTATTTATCTTACTGGTAGGGAGAAATGGGACCATCGGCCCTGACACTTACCAGGGCTGACTGGGTCGGCGTCGCCGCTCGAGTGCCATGGAAGTGGGGGAAAAAACCGGCGAACGGCTGACACGGGGGATGGTCGAAAGGTGCAAGGTAAGTAGGCAATGGAGAGACCGAATCGGCCCTGTAAAGTGTCCGGGGTGATTTGGTCCATCGGTGTGGGACCTCTGTGAGGTGGGTTAACCCCAAAATTTAAAACCCATTTTACTGTTAGCAAGAATGCGTTTGTTGCTTGGCATAAGAGACTGTAACAACTACTTCGGAAGCACAATTGAACTTTCAATATCCATGAGATTATTAGCTAAATGACAATTGGCACATACAATTCATCGTCCATTGCTTCTCACGCAAGTTACAAAGAGAGCATGGCAACATAGAGAATGAAATGGGCTGACACACAAAGATCAGAAGGCCAGAAAAGAGAAGAATTTACCCATTGTTTTATACCACAATATAGACGAGGGCAACTCGATCGAGCCGCAATTAGTCGAAGCATAGGAGACGAAACAGCAATACATGACTAAAATACAACACATGGTTAGTACAATATCTATTTAACCTAGTACCAGGTGTTCCGTAAGTTAGATGATAATATAACATGAGGTCTCATACCACAAAACACTATCCTTCTCTAACTACATGGTATACAGGACATCATAGCTTTTACAGCAAATTACCAGCAGCTAGCTTCTTGTTTCTGCAAAGAGGCTACTTCCAAAGCTTGACACACTTATCGTGACTCACAGATGCTATTACTCCAGTTACATTGGATGCTGCCAATGCTGCAATTAAACCTTCATGCGCAGAAGAGGGCATGGTTTTGTTCTCATTCATGTCCCAGAGTTCCAGCGACTGCAGAATTGATGACTTCAGTTAGTAGTCATTTGATCAATTACAATACAGAACAACAAACTATCTACAAGAGACTGAACCTCTCAGTAAATATCACTCAAGTCTTATTTGAGTAATTGTGTTCCTACAGTTTCAAGTGTGATCTCATGCCCATGCCGCCAACATTTATTAAAATTACATATATACAAATTCTTGGTAACAAGAAAGATAAATAATGCACAAATAGTATAATAATTAGTGATGGATACTAAGAATGGTGCAAATTGAATCAGAGGGCTACTTCACCTACAATCTATAAGACACATGATAGATGTATGGCTAAATGTTAGTGGTGCGAGTAATTTAAGCATTAAACTCGCCTGGTAGCAACCAATCACAAGCAATGATGGATAGCTGGGGTGAAAAACACATGAGTGAAACTTAGTTCCACTACAATTCAACTCCTTTATGCATTCCCCGTCGCTTCCCAAACCAAGTGACCATATTCGGACTGAGTCTTCGCTAACAGAAGCCAGACGATCACCCGAAGAGTTCCAGCAGATCGAAATAACATGTTTTGTATGTCCCTGTAGTTGAACAGTGATGTCAACAAACTAGAATGCTGTTTAGACCTCACAGCAAAGGCGTTAAAAATCAAAGTAAGGCTACTGATCCATTCTTAGCTGATTAGATAAATATATTAACAGCAGTACCAAATGATCAAGAAATTATGGATGGTAGGAAATGAAAATTTGACAATCTGGAGAACCATAAGTTATTACTCAGGAAAATGCATGCTTGATTCTCAATTTAATAATCCTCACTTGTGAAATCATCTTGTGATTCACGTAAGATATTAATAAAAGAACATGATGTACTGCTTCCATTGCATACCTAATGTTCCAGATAAGACAACCAACCTGTAGCAAATGCCTGCGAGCTTGTGTCTCAACATCTAGTATGCCTATGGTGTTCTCAGCGGCCGCAGCAAGATACCTACCGTGACGAGGTTGAAACCTCATTTGAGTTGTTCCACCCTGCATGCACAATGAAAAAAAAAAAAAAGTTAGCTAGCCAGCAGAAGAATCTTTGCACCATGTTGTCCACAAAACTCTTCAGGGGTTGCATTTGACAGAAACAATTGAAGGCAAAAAAAAGAGACCACTGTTTCATACCGGAAAAACTCTGGCACAGTTACCATTGTTTATACTCCAGTAACGCATTTCCCCATCACTATCACAGGAACAAATGAGATCCTCTTTACTTGGGTGAAAGTCAAGGGACATGACTGATGCAGAATGGCCAGTGAAAGTACGGAGGGAATAGCCTGGCTGTACATTGACATCATGTAGCCAAACAACTCATTAGAAATAACTCAACAAAAGATTAAAATCAGCAACATGACAAGAAAAATAAAATATTCACATTGTCCATGGTAATTGAAGAATCACAACATTTTTGCCTTTCAGAAGTTTCTCACAGCCAGATTGCTTCAGACTTGTACAGTCATGAATGCTGACACATTCATAAGACCATGGATGAGCATGAGTGTTGATTGGTTTTTACAAAAAGAAGTCGTGACACTGTTCATGGTCCATGAGAATGAAGATTGTGATGACCAAAACTGTGGACAGAAAAATTTCCTACTACTTGCCATCTGTGTTCAGGGAATTGCCATGTCGACTAGTTAAATGGACAATGAAAGTCAATTGTGGAGAAATTTCTCCGATCTGCTAATAATATGCTACTGGATGAATGAAGTGCAGAATTAATGTAGTACTTTTTCTTTCATAATTATCAAATAAATTTGACAGATTTTCCTACTTCATTCAAAGAAAAATGTACATGGATCACAATTCTTTCATAATTATCAAATAAATCTATGGCATCCACCCCAAGGTTCCCTACATTTTATTAAATATAGGTATAGCATGTTTTGTCCTAGTTCCACAGAATTTCCTATGAAATACAACGAGGTCGTATCCATAATCTTGTCAAGCATTCAACCATATATGCTTGAATATACCATCCAAAAACAAGTATCATGCTACATCTTCCTGATCACTTGTTTTTGTACAAACTCTGACAAGAGATATATTTTGTAGTTTAGCAAAAACTCAATTGTCTTTCCAATAATGCCTTTGGCATTGACCCTTCTCCAGAATAAGCATATCTTTATAATCTCAAACATCTGCATGTGCACCCAACAATATGGCCTTTAAGTAGATGTGTGGTAGAACTTTAACCAGACCAGTATTTACCAGTCTAGCACAGTATGGAATTGGCCCCTTGTCCACCGGCACATTGCCAAGGGTGTGCCGGACATACTTGTCATGGCATGAAACGATACTGATGCCCACTCAGCTGGCTACAGTATAGTTGGCATGAGTTAGCATGGCAATCCATGTGTGCACGCTGGTCCATCATACTTAAGCACTCACATGATTTGCTAAATCCATTCCAAGATGGTAAATAATATGCTTCCTCCGAGTCAGTACAGACCATCTGCGGAACATCTCCTATTTAATAAATCAAGAAAAAAATAGTTCTAGTGGTCATGTCTGAAATTGCATCCAACAGTTGTACTACAAGAAAACAGTATGAATGTCCATCTGAGAGATACCAATCACAGACGACCTTTATATATGAATAAAAGCATACAAGTGTCAATAATATTTACTACAGCATTGTGGTTGCCTTTGACTTTTGTTAACACTATATGGATAACATCGGTGACCTACTATCATCAGAAAATAAACCTTCCATTATTTTTGCAGTCACTAGATTTAGTACAAGTATAAACATCAAATTGAAAGATTGGCAGAAACCTACTAATTTTTATGGCACAGTCTTTCATATATTCAGCTATTTGCGTATATTGTCCCAATCTAATCAGAACCCACTAGCCTAATAACTTTTACAGAGTCATCTAGAAACATCAACCAAATACTCTTTGAGTCCAAGTTATTACAGGCAACTCAGATTTTCTCATTATACATCTTGTAAGATCTCGAATAATCAGCACAAAAGTTTTCCCACAAGAAGTGATGAGATAATATAACAGTGTTTGTAAGAAGAGATGGATGTACATAAACAAACATCTTAAAATATTCCCAACATGCCAATAATGCCATCCAAATGACAAAAGAGATGTTTTTAGATGAAAGTGTTGCATTAAAGCACGAAAAAGTGAAACACTTGATACTAACATTATCAGCATCCCATACTCTGACAGTCTTGTCAAATGAGGATGTAGCTAGGCGTGGCATGCTAGGACTAAACCGAACATCAGTAATCAGCAGTGTGTGTTCCTCCAATGTAGATTCACTTTTTAAGGTATCAGCATGCCACAAAACAGCCTGCAGGATGGGATTCAAATAACTTAAATAGCTTCTTAAAGTATTTTGCTACCAAGATGGGAAAGAGTTGACTCATAATTAATAAGAAATGGTTGGTGGGCCATCAATTGCTTTTGACCTTTTTATCATGGCCTCCGGTTGCAAGGAGTTTTCCATCCGAGGAAAAGTGACAACAAACAACTTTATTTGTACTAGCTCTGGCTGATTTGATCTCGGTAAATGGGAATCCTGATAGAGCAATTGCTGACATCAGACAGAGAGCAAACTGACCAGGGACACAACATTTTCTTATCCTAACTATCCAGATGTAAGAAACACAAGGCAGTAAAACCTAGGTAAAAAAAAAGAAGAAATATATAGCACCTTTTGTAGCAACTATAGAATGACCAACCACATCTCTTGGATCAGTATCATCATGAGATAGAAATGACTCTACGTTGTCATCTAAAGATGCATCCTCCACAAAGCGATCCATGTCAGCCTGCAAGTCAACAACTTTTACATCCTAATGTTAAAATCAATCTGTGCAAAATTGATTAATTAGCAACAAATATGTTCCTGAACAATTACCAATTGGTTGGCTGAAGATGTCAAAGCACCCGTCGCATCACCAAACATAATCATAGGCTTAGATGACCCACCATTATGTTGCAGTTGTGTCATTGAAATCATATCTCCTGGCGTATGAGTGGATGGCGTTGAGGGTGCAGAGCTTGGAGAAGGTCCAGCAGTATTTGCTGTTCCTGTGCTATTGGCAGGACCTGAGGATGACACAGGCTGCTTCCGCTTCCGGCCACTTTGATTGTTTGAGGTCTACAGTCCGTTAAAAACTAGTTGCTAAAAGTTAGGGAAAAACATTAACATTTAAAGACTGAAATGTATATGAAAATTTGTGACTCGTCTAGAGCAACAGTCTCATGACATAATAAGTTTGAAACCAAAATGTATTAACCTACTAGTATACCACATTCGACCACTGTAGCATGGCCTTCTATTTTTACAAGGATACCACTGACATGAGAAATTGTTGGTACCACGAGATTGTTGGCACTTGCCAAGCAATAAAGGCCACTGCAGCATGGCTTAAAAGGTTTTGTGTGCATGCACTTCCCAAGAAATTGTTGGCACCACGAGAATGGCCAACAAACTGAAGATAATCCCTATGCTCAACTCATTAGTGAAATAAAGACAAGACAAAGATTATCACAACCAAGTGAGAAGTGCCAACAGAAATCAACTAATCAAGTGAAATCTCTCACTGAACACATCAAAATCTCAAAGTGACAATCTCTTCAGACATTTTTAACATGTTATCTTGTAGTGTCACAATCTGATCAGATTTCTTACATATGTAAAAATCTTCAGAACCTTTAGCTAATGCAAAAATAGAACACTGACAACAAAAGAAAATATTTTTTATGTTAATACCAAGGTAAGGTAAAAGATATACCTGATCAGTCCCTCTAAATGAATTTGACATGCTTCCATCAACCATCATATTGGCTGTGCCAAGTTTTTCTTGATTAAGGTGATTTGAGTTTTGTGATTGTTGACTTGAAAGAGAATGTTGTTGAAGCTGCTGTTGCTGACTGTTACTGCTTTGTTGTTGTGGTTGTAACTGAGCTACTTTCTGTTGCAAATACAAAGAGAAACAAAGTTTATACAGCTGAAGTTATTATTTCTATTCATGCATAAGTTACACAGTGAAGTGATGAACAACTAAAATCATCCCAAAATTTAAAGGAAAAAAAAAAAGCAGACCTTAATTAACAAATCTGAATCAGTGCGAGACATCACAGGGTTTGATGTTTGCATGGGAGATCCCGCATTTGGAATGACATCATTAAGAGCATTTGACTGGCCATCCTTTCCCAAGAGCATGTTCTTGTTGTTCAAAAGCATCCGTAGCCTTCTGTTATCAATATCAGCAGCTGATGGGGAACTCAGATTTTGCTGTGCCTGAAGCAGTAGCTGCTGTTGATGGGGACTCAGAAACTGAAGTTGATGAACCGACTGAGGTGACTGCATAAGTGTTCTTTGCTGTTGCAAAAACCCCGTACGAAGTTGATCTAGATCCTATAGGTTGAAAACAAAATAAATAACAGTTGACATATTTTGCATTTCAAAATTACAACCCAAAGCCCTACTCAAGATGCCTAATAAGAACATTAAGCTAAGCTGAATGCTTAATCCAACGTAACATTGACAACAAGTAGATATGTTCATGCCGCAATGTATTCAATGACAATAAAAGCAATAAAACCGTAAGACCCAACTATCTGGGGTCAATTACTTGGATCTTTTGCTATCATTGAGATCTGCAAAAAGTTATATATATTTATTTAAGTATAGAGTATTTAAATCTTCATTTATAGTTTCTATTAAGGTTATTTTAGGTCTTCCTCTACCTCTTCTGTTACTATTAATATTAATTATTTTACCTCTTCTAACTACTACATCCATAGCTCTCCTAAACATATACTCATATCATTTTAAATAATTCTCTTTCATTTTATCCTCTATTGAAGCAATACGTAATTGTTGACGAATACGAATATTTTTTTTCCTATCATTCGTAGTAACTCCACACATCCATCTCAATATTCTCATTTCGCAACACAAACTTATTGTATATGATACTTTTTAGCTACCAACACTCGAAACCATAGGACACTACTGGTCTCATAATAGTCTTATCAAAATTTTCTTTTAATCTCAAAAGTATCTAATAATCACACAAAATTCCTAACGCCTATCGTCATTTTAACCATCCTATTTCTACTCTATGAATAATATCTTCATCAATCTCTCCATCTTGTTGAATAATTGATCTAAGATACCTAGAACTTTTACTTAAAAGAAATTCTAATCTATCCAAGTTAACTAGATTCTCATCTATTCTTAGTATTACTAAAATTACATCTCAAATATTCAGTTTAGTTCTGCTTAATCTAAAGCTTTTAGTTTCTAAGGATTGACTCTAAAATTCTAGTTTATAATTAATTCCACTCAGGCTCTCATCAACTAAGACAATATCATTAGCAAATAAAATACACTAGGAAGGTCTATCTTGTAAATAACGAGTAAGTTCATCCATTATTAACATAAAAAAGTATAGACTTAAAACGGATCCTTGATGTAATCCTATTCTAATAGGGAACTCACCAGACATACTTCTTATAGTTCTAATACTATTAGCTACATTATCATACATATCCTTAATATCATCAATATAATTAATTGATACATCTTTCTTTTCTAAAACCCACCATAATATATCTCTAGGAACTCTATCATAGATTTTCTCCAAGTCTATAAAAACCATATGCAAATCTTTCTTTCTCTCTATAATTTTTCATTAACTGTCTTAGTAAATAAATAGCTTCTACGGTTGATCTTTCAGCATAAAACAAAATCGATTTTCAAATATATTTGTTTCAAGCATTATCCTACTTTCGATAACTTTCCCAAAGTTTTATAGCATGACTTCTGATTTTAACTCTTCTATAATTAGAACAGTTTTGAATGTCATCATTACTCTTGTAAATTGATACTAAAAAACTTTTTCTCTATTCATCAAGTGTATTTTTGAATCTCATAATTTTGTTAAATAAGTTATTTAACCAAGCTATTCCATTCATCAAGGAGGAATGAGAAATGCAAAGATCTTTCAAATTAAACAAGTTTAATGAAGCAGGCCAAGTGCTCACTGACATAAAAACACACACGAGAATAAGTAAAGCACATATTGCAGTTATCAAGGAAATGTGTATCTTATTTACAAGAAACAAATAAAAACTAAATCAACAAGAATTAGGATCTTCCTATTCACAAAAGCAAACTTACAGTCAGGGGCCAGCCTTTCAGAGTCAGATTGTTTCCAGCCTGATTGGCACCTGCTAACAGAACACAAACAGTGAGTGCATAAGCCCTACAGCTGTAAACACTGTTTAATGTAAATGATGTTTGGACATTGTGCAATAAAACTGCCACTTAATGAAACTCAACAAATCGAACATTGGCTTCCACACACCAAACATCATGGACCCTCCATTTTAACGCTAGAAGTGCTGTGGCTCAAGCGGCATATTAATACAGAAGGGCGCGCAAGTAAAGGATCTAGAGATGAAAGATAGAGACAGCAAAAAGAAAACAAAAAGCATAATATTAAAAAGAACACTTAAGTAATTTGATTTTGGGAAATACTACCTGGAATTCCAATTAATGATCCATCAGGACCTGAAGCTCTGGGGCTTAAAGCTGGATTAATCTCACTCTTTATGTCCTGTCCATATTACAATTACAAAATCAGTAATAAATTGTGAAACAAAATTGTTTTAATAAAAAAACAACCTGCGATGACCCAGGAAGCTGTTGATTCCTAGCCTGAACCAGCTGCAGAGGCCCTGATAGACCACCAGCCGAACCATGCAAAACATGCCTGAATTGGAAGTATTCCATGACAAATCTCAAAATCTATTTACAATGCTTTATATCTAAGATCAAGTGCCAGCAAGAAGATTCGCCAGTAGATAGGGTTTATGAATGCATAGGTACTGAACAGCATGATTAGCAGTAGGTATATCATAACAATCCACCTGGGCTTTTGGTGCCCATGTCTGCGCTCATATGGCATTTACATTATCCAACTAAAGCAGAAAAAGTTTAATGCATGCTGGGCAGATGGTCATTTTAACTATGCAAAGTGAGCGTACCCTAAAGGTTGTCCAGGATTTGGAGCTGACTTCAGCATGGGAGCATGGTTTGGGTCCATGACCTGACCCACATTGTCACCATACCTCTGCAAAAAGAAATAACAAATGATCAATAAAATCAATCCTATACATACCAGGGAAGACAGCCATCTCAGAGGAGATAACTTTTAGTCTGGATTAGTACCTTAATTGATTGATCATCTGGAGAATCCCTTTGAAGTGGCAACTTCAGCCGTTCTTCATACATTTTTGTTGCTAAGACATTAGCAGTTCCAGAATTCTGGCGCATCAAAGTATCTGTACCAACAAGCCCACTGGCACTGCCATTCAAAAGCTGAGATCCCTCTCTTCGTTGTGGCTGTTGTTGTTGTTGCTGATGTTGCTGCTGTTGTTGTGCCTGTCTGTGTAACAAAAGTTGTTGAATTTGAATATGTTGTTGTTGTTGTTGTTGTTGTTGTTGTTGTTGTTGTTGTTGTTGTTGTTGTTGCTGCTGCTGCTGCTGCTGCTGCTGCTGCTGCTGTGGAGACAGTTGTTGCTGTTGCTGCTCCCTTGCTTTTAAATGCTGAGTCTAGCATCAAAAACCAATATGGATGCTTAGAAAAAAAGAAAGAGCATGGGCAATCCATTCAAAGAATCAATACTTTATTCATATGTCTATATATGTTGGATTCCAGAAGATGGTGGCAGTCATATGCTGTTGCATTTTCGTCATGTCACTTCTTATTTGAAAATTAAGTGTGAAATTTTTTTCTAAACTAATTTGTCATATTGGAATTTATTACTGTGTTGTTGTCCAAACCCTGGACCTCGCATGCATTGGCGGGAGCCTCGTGCCAAGGGCCACCCTTATTCTTACTGCTTTGTTGTGTATAAACAATTATTGTTATTGATGTTGACATATTGCATTTAAATTTGGGTCAGGCTTCATAATACAACCTAATTGTTGGGGCTGAACCGCAAAAACACTTATGAAAATGAACTAGGGGCAAACAAATACAATACTTAACACCGGCAGCAGCTGTGAATATCCTTCTTATACACCCTTCATCATCTCAAAATCAAGTGCCTAAAGCTTTTTTGATAGTGTGACAGTAGTAGAGAAAACTATATCATGAGCTTGCAAAGTAAACCATTCTTAATTAGAAAGGATATATCAGTCCTTTTGACCATAATAAAGAAAGACTTAAGGTCCATTTTAGTCCCTGTAATTTTGGTCATGGACCACTTAAGTCCTTATGGTTTCCTCGTATCTAAAATAACCCCTACATTTTTAGAAACGTAGCATCTAAACCCCTCCCGTCAAGTCAGAGTTAACAGATTTTAGAGCCTGCTTTCGTGACATGCTAACTCGTAATAAACCATTAATATAATAACACGTATAATTTAAGTCTAAAAAAGGATTAAAGTCCATTTTAACCCCTGTGGTTTTGGCCATAAACAACTTAAGCCCTTATGGTTTATTCGTATCTAAAACAACCCATATATTTTCGAAAACATAGCATATAAACCCCTCCCATCAAGTCTAAATTAACAGATATTAGAATCTGCTTGTATGGCATGCTGACTCATAATAAACCATTAATATAATGATACATGTAACTTAAGTTTAAAAAAAAACTAAGACCAACATCAATGGCGGGAGGAGACGTCGTCGTGGAAGCGACCACCAGCAGCAGCACCAAACTGCTACTGCCTAGCAGGGCATCGTATGCATGCAGCCTCTCCCGTGTTGACGACAAGCTCAGGAGCTTCCAATCCTACCTTAGGTGGATGTGCGGCGATTAGTCCGACACTATGCATATAGTGGTCTCTTGATCCCTCTTCCTCCTCCAAGCGTCTTCATCACCACCGCCTCCCACTTTATCCTCTCCTGCGCCCCCACCCACCGTGCCTACGACACTATGCACATAGGTCTCCTGGTCCAGCTCTCCCTCACCTTCGCCTCCAGCCCCTCCTACCTCTGCCTCTCCGCCTTCATCCGTCGCTACGATCTTCGCCACTTCCTCTTCCTCGATAAGATAGACTTTAACCATTTTTTAAATTTAGATTACACGTGTCATTATATAAATAGTTTATTGTGAGTCAGCATGTCACGTAAGTAGATTATAACGTCTGTTAACTCAACCTTGACAAGATGAGCTTATATGCTACGTTTCTTAAAATATATGAGTTATTTTAGACACAAGTAAACCATAAGGGCTTAAGTAATTCATGACCAAAACCGTAAAGGCTAAAATAAATCTTAACACTTTTTTTAACTTAAATTACATATATCATTATATTAATGGTTTATTGTGAATCGGCATAGTACGTAAGTATACTCTAACGTCTGTTAACTCGGACTTGACGAGACAGGGTTATATACTATATTTTTTAAAATATAAAGATTATTTTAAACAAAAATAAATCATAAGAACTTAAGTGGTCTATGACCAAAATAATAGGGGCTAAAATGGATTTTAACCCATAAAAAGAGGGTTTTCATTTGCTAAAATTACCAACAAAATAAGACATCCCAGAATCCTAACAAGCTCCTAAGTTTGCACTAAAGACAATAAAATCATCGTAAACAGAGAAATACCGTGTAAATGAAATATTCTTTGGTCAAAGCTTCACGGATCTTCAAGACCGCATAATGGGAAGCAAGAACAAAGAATCTTACCTCTATGTACGAAGCAGCAGCATCAGAGTGTTTTTCGTTTGTCCTTGCAATAAATATATCCCAGAACACAGACCACCATTCAAACAGAAAACCACCAGGGGCATCAATAGCTGAAAGAAGGGTAAAACCAGTGCTCAATTTATGGATGGAAGAACTGGAAAGCATAAACACGACAAGTTCCATAAGATTCTCTGAAACCTACCCACTGGATCGGATGACACCTTGGCTTCAGCTTGAAAGGCCTTTGCAGCGGCCTGCAGGCCTCTCTTCATCAAATAGTCATAAATGTACACATCCAACCTGGTTTCCAGGTCATTAATAAGCGGCTTCAATATCAGCAAAACCTCCGGTCTTTGCATCCGCAAAGGAAGGAAGAAGAAGCAAAGGTGCGCAGAGAACACGAAGAACAAAGAAATATGGTTCACCGTGAAACACATGGAAAGAGCACAAAACCGATTGCGTCAGGTAACGAAGCCAAAAGATCCAAAGAAAACCGAGTTCCTTTCCGGAAGGGAATCAAGGGAGAACATAAACACATCCAGCTGCTAAAATGCCCCCCCAAAAAAAAAACAAACAAAAACAACCTAAGCGAGGTCAATCAAGCGAGTCTATCGTCCACAAAGCCCAAAAAACTCGTCAAAATTCGAGCAAAAGAAACAGTAGCTCACATCTTATCGGCCTCCCAATTGGTCTGCGACATGATTCCAGCACCGAGTCCGCCCTTTTCCCGGCGCTCGAGGCTTGCGCGATCCACCAGCACCGAGATGTCACGCAGTCTCCACCCTTCTCTCCTCGCGCCTCGAACGGGATCCCATCAAATCAGCAAACCTCCTCTCTCTCTCTCTCTCTCCCTCTCTCTCTCTCTCTCTCTCCTTCCACCCACCCAAACCCTAGAGATAACAGAAGTAATAACCAAAGGAAATCTATATAAATAAAAGAGAAAAGGGGGGAAAGAGTTTAAAGAAAAATAAATAAATATATAACATAAATAAAATTCAATTTTCATGGCAAGACAGCTTTACCTCTCCTTTGGTATGATTGGAAACACAGAGATCATGAAGAGAAGTAATCTATGTGTATATATATATATATATATATATATATATATATATATATATATATATATATATATATATATATATAGTATAGGGTGGAAGAATAAATGAAGTGAGTTGCAAGAGATTGACCAGAATATGATTCGTATTCCTCCAACCACTACCATTTGGACAAGGTTGAGACACGTTAGGGTGCCAAGTGTGTAGATGGAGTGGCCACATAGTAACAGGTCAGCTTGATCTTATCCTTGAAGCAACTTTAATGGTACTTTGGCACAAAAGATGATACAAATCATCATCGATTATTCCTTCATTACCTTTTTTGCTGTGTCATGGATCATTGATTATTTCATGAGAATACCAAAGAGAGAGAGAGAGAGAGAGAGAGAGATTTTAGATGGGTCTCATTATAAATGGATTTCATATGGCAATATGTTATGGATTGATTCAATTTTGACTTTGACGAATGGGTAATTGACTGTCCGAATTATAGTCGTTTAGGAGACAAAGTCAATTGACAATCTTAGTGTTGTGGGAAACAACTTTGACCCGCGGACTCGGAGCCAACACGGCTCGGTTCGGGTCCGGACGACGGGGATCACCCGGGGCGCTCCTCGAGCCCGCTGAGGCGATCGAGTGCGGTGTCCGATCGGGATGGTGTAGCCGTCTCCTTCGGGCAGGAACTCCTCGCCTACGCGTCTAGAGGGGACCTTCGGCTTCGCACCTGCACAAAGGTCGAGCCGAGGCTCTCAGCCCGACCCCTCCGACGATCAAGTTAGCTGATGAGGAGGGGGTTTCAAATGAAGAAGGGTTTTTGTGTGTCTCCCCCCCCCCTTCTTTCTAATGAACGAGAGGGTATTTATAGGGAAGCATACTGCTTCCTAGGTTGCCCGCTTGCAGGGGGCAGGCTGGTAGCGTCTGACTTTGTGTTGGCGTGGCGTGAAAAATTGAGCTTTGGCAGGATGTTAATGTGCCTCGATCGACGTTCCGATCTGCATTGACCAGGTGCTATTGCGTGAGGCGTCATCTGACGTCAACCGAGTCTTATCACAATTACTATCCTCATCACTTAGCAACCTGAGACAAGTAATTCTTATAATTTTATTTTTTTTGCTTTATTATTATTAT